TATCCACGAAAATAAAATGACCAGGCTGTTTTCGTACTACTTGGTAATGCAGGCTGTGATTTGATTCGAATGTATACCTCGGAAATAATTGACAACTAAATTGAGGTAAACTGACAGCAAGTTATAGAACTCCCAAGTCATGAAGACTCGCCTTATTTTTCCAGCAATGTTTGGCTAGCCCAGATCTTGGTACTGCCCATGAGATAGATGCCAGCCCTCCCCAAGCTTTAATTGATGTCATTGGTCGAATACATAAGTTCAGGGTCAGTGTCAGAATATTTTTATTTGAGAAGTTTTATTTTTTGCCGCTAACTACGTCCCTAAGTTGGATTAATCATATAACTATGATAGTCTATTTTAACATTATCATCACTGGACATGAACAGATGTAATATATATTTAGACAGTTTATATATTAAACTATTTGAGGTTTCTAATATTTTAACAATAACTATATAGTTTTAAAAAAAAAAAATTTGGTCATTTATTTTAAATAAAAATCATATAACATGGTACGTATTTTATGTGTATGCCTCTGTGGTATCTTACGAGCCCATATGTTTAAAAAAAAAAATTTAATACATATGCTATCTACAACATGGTACGTATCTTATGTGTCTGTGGTACCTTACGAAGCCCATGTGTTTAGAAAGAAGTTTGAAAAACATATCTTTTTTCGCTTCTTCAAAGCATGTTAAATTTCACAAAAGGACTAATCATTTGAGGATTAAGCACTGCCTACTCACCAAAAAACATGACTTAGGCCTATAAACACAGGAAGCATATAAATCCATGGAAAAATTAGTCATAGAAAAAAAGTCAAAGAAAAAAATCAACAAACCAACAATTCATCAACCTATTAGAAAGTTTCAAAAAGCATGTGTAATATAATATCTAGACAGGTTATTCATAAAACTATTTGAAGTTTGTAATATTTAAACAATAATTACGAAGTTTTGTTAAGAAAAAATTACCTTTATTCTAAATAAAAATACATATGATAATCTATGTCATGATATGTACATATTTTATGTGTTCATGGTATCAGCTAATGTGTTTAAAAACTGTTCGGATTTTTTATTTTATTTTTACGACACCTATCCGGAAAGATATAACTTATTTTTTGTAACAAAACAAAGATAGAACTTATTTTCTTTCTTCTAAGCAAGTTAAGTTCTTTTTTAAGGCTTAACAAGCAAGTCAAGTTTTTGTTGAGAACTGGCTTAACAAGCAAGTCAAGTTTCTCGCATAGAAGACTACGGATTCAAGTATGAGGATTAGTGAGCGCCTACTCACTCAAAAAAAACATGACTTAGACATATAACTGTAGGTAGCATAAAACCGGAACATAAAACCGGAACCTCCAATTTTTGTGGTAAAATACTCACAGCTGTGAGTACCATCAAAATCGGATGGAAGAAGATCTTGGTATGGCATGTGTGATACACCCTAAAACGGAAAGGATCATTTCGTCGGATTGAAGGGATATGAATTCGCCAAAACGGAGAATTGGTGAATTGAATGGTGAGACAAAGGGTTGTGGATGGCCCAATGGTACTACCAGATTTTGATCGTTGCCGGGTGTGACGCACCGATCCAACAAAAGAAGGATAGAAACTTGGAGATAACCTCACCTAGAAACTAAGAAATGTTTTACAAGAACAAAAATAGATAATTTCATAAAAAGGGGAAAACAATCTAATTTATTTTGTGGCTCTTGGGCCTTATTTATAGGATTATAAGTTATAGGAATCGAAAAAAGAATGTGCTAAAAACAAGGCATTGAAAATGTAAACAAAGACTAATACTTTTGACTAGAAATGAGTGTGTTGTTGAATGCCTCTTTGTCTGCCACGACCTTGACTCATTTCTTGACTCTCTCTCTTGGTATTTTTGATGAGAATGGGCTTGAAATGTACTGAGGAAATGGCTGGTCGAATTTGGAGTAAAACAAACCCATAATAAAATTTTTATGAACTTTTCTTTGGGCTGAAAAGTGCCCATCTCGCCCAGCAGCGAAACCAACTCCATCTTCAGTGTATAATAGCCCACCCAGCTCTAAATTAGTGTTACTTAGCTCACTTAGATCATCCAACTCCAAAGTAGTGTCGGTCTAGCTCATTTGAATGTACACATGTCTCAATTCGCGAGAACTGAAGATCATCTGATTTGTAAATGACATAACTCCCACATCTGAACTCCATTTGATCTGGTTTTTCTTCGAAGAACTCCATAATTGAGCTGAGCATACTCTCCAAGTGATTTCATGCGTAGAATCCTCGTGGTTTGGAAGATATGAGTTAAACAATGAACATATATCTTTACTGCTTCCCATGATCGAACCATGTATACCTATTTTGTCAGGTACTCTACCTCAAGGACGCATCAATGTGTCCCATAAAAATATTTATTTTCTTTTATCTAAATTTTTTTTACACTGCATGCCCCATACTAAATAAGTGTCTAGATCCGCTCCTGAGTACCGTCACCTAGATTCGAATCAGGCCATCTGGAACGCTTTAAATAGTAAAAAAATATGGATTTTACGGGTCTTATGGTGATCAGTCATTAGGCGTAGACAATTTTTGGAATCACACACGATTATAAATAAAAAATAAAAAAACGTAGATAGCATATTTACTATAAACCTATGTAAATGTTGTTTGAATTAGAAATGTAAATACACAATGTTATTTATTAATAGTTTTCCTCTGCATTTGGTCACAATGATCTTGAGGTTTAACTTTCCTTCGGAGTCCCGACTAACCACCTACGTCGTCCGTAGTCACACCAAATTAAGTTTCTTATTTATATATCATAGCTCCCTAAATGCATATTTGTAGTGTAATATTTTGACAGATTATATATCAAACGAATATGAGCTTCAAAATATGAAACAATAATCTTATATAGTTTTCAAAAACAATTATTTATAGATTTCTTTTAAGAAGTTATTAATTTTATAAGGAAATGTTTAAACATAGACTACAGTGGAGGCTCACTCCATTAGAAACTCTAACCATTACTCCCTTAAATGATTATGAAGAAAAATCATCCTATTGAAACGGGACGATAAGCAAAATGAGGTCATCCTTTCGGATCACGGACCAAACTAAAAAGTGTATCATTATTCTCAGTTATCGAATTGTTTTCCTATTTTTTAAATAAATTGAAGTGTTTAGCTTATGTCTATATTTTATAGTTCATGAAAGGGAAATTTGTGATCGGCCAACATGTAAACTGAAATTGTTTAACTGTAAGTAACAATGCAACAAAATAATACAATCTTTACAGTGGAGAATGTGGAAAGAAATTTTAGAGGGGGCAATTCAATATATATATATATATATCGGCCAACATGTAAACTGAAAATGTTTAACTGTAAGTAACAATGCAACAAAATAATTCAATCTTTACTGTGGAGAATGTGGAAAGAAATTTTAGAGGGGGCAATTCAATATATATATACAGTAGAACCTCTATAAATTAATACTCGATAAATTAATATATACTAAATATCTCTATAAATTAATATAATTTTATAGTCCCAAATTGAATTTTTGGTTCAATTAGTAAATCTATAAATTAATATCTCTCTAAATTAATAAAAAAAAAAATTTTTCGATGTAGTCCCAACATTATTAATTTATAGAGGTTTCACAATATATATATATATATATATGAAAATAAATCTAGAACACAAGTTTTACTAGGGGAAAATAATCCAAGTTAGTGTATTTAAAAAAAAAAAATCATGGGGGCAACTGCCACCTTCTTGGCTCACTTGGATTCCCAATGAATATTTATCAACTTAGATTATCCAGCAAATCGATTCATTTTTCCCCCAACTCTAGGTGGATGTGATAAACGACCTTTATGGTCTCAATCCTGTTATGATTATTACCTTTAGCAAGATATACCATCGACAACTCAAAAGATGATGATCATGAAGCACACAACTAAAAATAACTTCCGTCCTCTCCCAAATTATATATCTTCCTTTTCTAAATTCAGTCTTTGTATTTTACCAAACTAATAAAAGAAAATTTTGTTACAGAAAATATGTGTAGTTATAAAGTTACATGCGACATCCACACAACAAAAACCAGTGCATCTCGCTCCTATTACGATACCTTACAAGTTAAAGAGTTTATAAATTCAAAATGATTTTACAATATCTGATATTCAGACAATATTCAATTGTAAAATTTAGAAAACAATTATCACGATCTAGTGGTCTTAAAAGTTTTAAAAACAAATTCCCCAGAATGCTTAATTGTTTGGGTCGGTTCGACACTGGGTCTGTAATCTCAATTTATAAGCAAACGTAAGTGAAGAGTTGATGGTGAATTTGTCGCTCTGATATTATGTTTATCCCAAGAAACAATGTTCTAAAACATTCAGCAGCGACACCATAGAAGTCTTTAAAATTTGTTCAGCCTATGGTTATGCCTCGGCATCTACGAATTACTTCTGAAGTTAAATTTCTTCAGCATATTAGGACAATCATAATTAATTTAATATTGGAAAAGGCCTGCATTACAACGTAGGACGATCAAACAATTTGATTTCATTTCAAAGAAAAAGAGAAAACATAACTACATTCATAGTTTCATACCACCTTCATGTATAACGTATCAACGATCTTCTAATTTTATTAAGCTTCAAATTTTCAGAAAATTCAACATAAATTCTGTAGACCAATAATCTATTGTGTGCAATTGAATACTAAGTCAAACAAAAATATAATTTTTTTTTAAAAAAAAATTAATGTTTCTCTCTTAGGCCATGTAAAATTAATTAAATGATGAAGACAATCGACATGTTTTGTGCAATTGAGTACTAAGTCAAACAAAAAAATAAAATAAAAAGTCAATGTTTCTCTCTTAAGCTATGTCAAGTAATTTAAATAGAGATGATCGACATGTACCACCATCACGTTGCTGGGAACTTACATCTCCATTGTTCCTACGTGTCTTCTACTACTTGTTTGGGAAAGCTTATCGTTTAATTTGATCTCCATATGAGAGAAGAAACATAGAAAATCCACAAGGATATGGTAAGAAGCTTACATCTATTGCATCCATATGTTTAGGGCAAATAGAGCACCCATTCATCTTATCATCACCTTCTTTCTTCTGATCATACTTCTTATTATTTCTATTGAAATTGCGATGAACTACCTTTTCTGGTGAAGTTTCTTGGTCGCACTTTCACTTGCCAGCTCTTCGCCGTATTGATGCAGAGAAGGAATATTGTGATCTTTCGACATTAGCACAAGTTGTTGAGGCACAATTCCAGAATCAGCAGCTGGAGTTACAAAAGCTTTTTAGTTTCACACTTCCAAATAACACCAATCAAAGAATGTGAAGACTTTATGCTCCACATACATAATCAGATTGTGCAAAGAACAACACATACATTTATAATTTACCTTCCTGACGCCTCATATCCACCAAACAATTAGCAGCATAAGAAAGAAAAGAAAAGAGCATTCGTTAATCTGTAAAAAGATGCATATCACACAATGACTTCAACAGCCAGGAAATAAAATTACCAAAATAGCAAGGGCGTGACATATGACGTCTTCCTCATTTCTTGTGCTTTTGGTTCTTTTTTAATTTGTTGGTGTACCTGAATCTCCGTGAGCTGGGAGCACAGATTTATGTGAAAAAACACCCTTCATTTTTTTGCCAAAACATAAAGAACAATCCAATGAAGAAATATATAACAGTATGAATGTTAATAGTGATAACAGAATAACAACCATTATCTTTGCATGTAATCAAACATATATTCTCTGGTGGTCAGTGACTATGTTGATGTCTTTATTCTTTGTGGCAAGATGGTGAGGCTGTCGAAAGAGCCTTGCTTCAGTTGACATTCATAGCACCATGCACGGTTAAGTGCAATGAAGCCTTAAATAACAGTTTTATCTGGACATGCTGAGTAGGTTAGATTATAGAGAACGATGGATATCATTTTGAGGGGTTTTATATCATGAGGCTGTACCTTTTCATCGATTCATAGGCCAATGGGAAAATTTGGTGGTGCAAATAGCCAGAGAAGAAGTGTCAGAAGTGAAATCATAGCAGATACTAAGACCTCTTGGACCAGAGTATTACCCTGTCTCCCTCACCGCGTATAGCATAGTTCAAGATTTGTTTCACACCGCTGCTTGCTCCATCAGTGGGAAATATGAGTTCTTGGTTACTGAGATATAAAATGACAAACAAAAATCCTGAGCTGGCTTTTCTTTTACAACAAATACATCTCAGTAAGCAATATCTTAGGATACCCAATACGTCATTTGTTGGGCTCAAAAACAGTTACGACAGAACCGATGCCTAAAATTTACTTCGGAAACATTGTCTCTCTTTCAATTAAAAAAAGAAAAACAAGAAACCGTCCTCTCTGAACTTCTCAAGTAAAAAGAAAACAAGACTCGCAACAAGTCTAGTCGCCCGTGGCGACTAGACCACACCATATACATCACCCTCTCCTTTAGACTTTTTCTAAGTCGTCTCTTGTTTCATCATGATCGGAGTTTCCGTTGAAGTTTTAAGATAAAAATAATAAAACTTATTTTCTCGTAAAAGCTTCAAGTCAATCGTATACAACAACAACGGTTAAATTAAACACCAACGTTGTCTCCACTATAAGATTCGTTTATTATTTTTTTTGGAACCAGCATGGTGTATTCTTATGAAGGATGATTTCTTCGAAAGAAATCATAAAAATAGTTTAAATTACAAAACGGCCCGGAAGGGCTAAATGCGATAAAGGCCCACTTACGATTTTGACAAGAATGACCCCAACTGCAATGACAGTCTATCGGATTTCCGTAGAATATAAATGGAAAAAGAAGATAATTTTCAAGTTTCAAGATAATTATGGAAAAATCGATAAGATAAGAAAGATTTTTGTGGAAGGATAAACTCAAATCAAGGGGAGGAAAAGAAAAGACAACCGACCTTCGAGACATATATAAGAGGAGAAAGGGAAAGGGACGCATACACACAGAAATTCTCAGCAAAAAATCTTAGCCCTTAGAAAGACATTTAGCAATTTTGTTTTTGTTATCGAACTGTGACTCAAGCTCGGTTTAAGGTTTAGGTGCTAAAACTAGGAACTTGTGGCTAAAGCGCTTAATGCCTGTTGTATCATCGCAGCGTTCTTATGCCAAAACGATTCAATAAGATCTTTCTCTTTACTCGCAATTCATATTTGGATTATCTTGCCTTTTGTTATTCATAGTTTGATCAATTGTCGTACGCCAGCAGAAATCCGGGGCCTCATGAAAAGTTAAGATTTCTTAGCTTTCCTCCGATTACGGAAATCGACAGTGTGAATTTCGATTTCCACATCGTTCAATGAACTCAGTAACCGCTTTCCTAACTTTCGGAAGAACTCTTGAGCCAATGTAAGAGCCTGATGACACACAGGGAAAGAAAATAAATTTCGGATCTTTTCACCCTAAATCTATATGCAGATAGCCGGCTAACTAATGAGGTTAGTGAATGTAATACCCAATCAGCCTGAATTCAATAAAATATAATGTTTAGCTCTTGCAATACAAATTGGACATTTTCGGTGGATTAGCACCGTTTAACCACTCAGAATAAACTTGCTCACTAGTCAAAGAATCAGGTGGAAATTCCTTTAAGGCGTGTTTTCCCTTTAAGAAATCCTTTTTATTTATTCCTCAGTGCATGATCATAAGGAAGAAATATTCTTTGACAATTAAACCAACACGTCTTCCTTCTATTAGGCAGTTAAAAATATTTGTATCTTCCATGCAAATTGGACATGCCAATTTACCATATATCGTCCATCCTGATAGTATGACATAGGCTAGAAAGTCGCTTATAGTCTACAAAAGCACGACTTTTAGATTAAAATTTTGATTCAAGGATACATCATATGCTTCAACTCAAGTTGACCACAATTCTTTAGCTCCCCAATCAGATGTTTGAGGAAGATATCAAGACTAGCTCATAGATGATTGGGCCCAAAATTTAGATTTTAAGAAACATGTACTCTGTTTTCATGTACATACCCGGAGGCAGATTATATGAAGTTAAGATCACATGCCAAAACGAAGGATTATGAGACATCCCAAATGGATTGAATCATCAAATGGATTGAATCAATATGTACATAATCCAATATAAACGTTACGAGGTTCTTCGACAAACAGAGGATGTATATCTTGAAAGTGTTTCCACTCCGCCTCATCAGATGGATGACACATTTCTCCATCCTTTGCTTGGTGCTCTGCATGTCATCTCATTGCTACTGCAGTCTTCTTACTCTGATACATTCTCTTTAACCTATCAGCTATAGGTAGATACCACATACGACTATATGGTATTTTTGTTCTACGACTCCTAATTTCCAAATTTCTGCACCACAAAACTGACATTTTTCACCTTTCATCTCCTTTCTAAAAGATCATAGAATTGTTGATACAAACATCAATTGTATAATATGGGAGCCCTAAATTGTGCATCGAATTTTCGGTCTTGTAGTGTGAGCCGGTTTCCATGTTTCCATCTGGTAAATCGATACACTTTTCACTCATATTATAATATGCCTTGTTTTGCAAACTCAGGCAGCTAAGGATAACTACAAGTGACTTTCACAATAACCATCGTACAAGGGATACTTTGCTCCTAATAAGTCGTGAAACTTCTTTAAATGGTTGCATACATGGTCTACTACATTCTGGTAGCTACCATCATGGTGATAATTATTAAAATTCATATTATCATGAAATGCATCATTTACCATTCCACATATCTATCTTCATTACCATGCATTATTTACCATTGTCACATATCTATCTTCATTACCAACTTCTTCAATATCACTAACATGTGTTGGGTGAACATGACTTGTTTCTAATTGTTGGACCCAAAATTGGGTCCATTAACGCGAGGCCCGTCAAAAAACTATGGAAGTGAGTCTTCGAAGCACTTATGGAGTAAAACAAGAATGAGACTAAATCCAATGACCACAATAAGGCCCATGCCCATGTTTTATTATCATATCGTGGTCAACAAACACGACGTGGTCGAAATGGAACCCCGAAGATCACGGGAACAATTAAAGGAGAAGAAGGCTATAAAAAAGAGCTATGGCGGAGCATAGAGGGACACGAAAAACCTAGAGCTATTTACTAATCACATCGACCTCACTCCATAGATTTCTAGTTCGTTTAGTAATTCTACTTCTCATTGTTGTTTTCGATCTTGTTCATCACCTTGTAAACGAATTCCATATTCAATAAAAGTCCATTTTTGTCAACCGAAATCCGATTGTATTGTTGTGTTTAAGAGAATCGTTGCCCACATCATTTGTCTTCCCCTGATTAAGCTCTCGATCACTATAAAATACTTAATGTGGATTTTAGGATCTATATTTTGGCACCGACTGTGGGGAAGATAAACGAAAAATGCCCTTGATATAAACCCGATCTAGGATTTCTAAGCACAACTATGGATCTTAACTGAAATCGATCTGGATATCCCAAAAGAAAAGCAGCCATACGCGATTCCTCAAGAACCGATATCGTCGTGTCGCCAGAAAAACGCAACCATCTGATGACGATATTGGCGGCCAATCCAAAAAAGAGCTCTGCAGCGAGACACGATTCCCCCTCCGAAAACTCAACAACCAACGAGGGCTTAAAGAGGAACCATCACCACTAAGGAGACTCTGATCCAAAAAGAAACTTTGACCTTCTACGAGCATGAAATAAAGAAGTTCGATATGCCACACAATGACGCCCTAATCATCACAATTGATCTCGCTGGAGTCACTGTAATAAGAGCCTTCATAGATACAGGCTGTGCCAGTAATATCATCCCTCGAGACACGCTCCGGTTGATAGACCAAGGTGGCCGCACCGTCAATCGAGAGATGGATTTTCACATCGACTTTGACGGCAGAAAAGTACAATTCTCAGAGACCGTGTCCATCACAACCAGAGTCCAGGATTTGGAATTGAAAACCAAGTTTTCCGTCTCCGAACACCCCATACATTTCGATGTTGTTCTAGGGAAGTCGTGGCTACATAGAATGAGGGCGATCCCTTTGATCTACCACCAATGTGTGAAATTCATGTCACCCACCGGAGAGAAAACAATTTATAGCAGGCAGAAGAAATCTAGAGCCCGCTACCTAGCAGAGTTTCGAAAAATACATCCGCGAGAGAAGAAAATCCCATCCACTCACGTCCTCGCGACGCGATCAAGAAAAACGAAGAAGGCCTATCAAGCTCCATCCCGGTCGATGAACACTTTCCCGATAAATGTGTCAATATCGGAAATGACCTCCTCTCGGGTATAAGACGTAGTTTATTTTCATTCCTTAAAGAAAACATTAAGACATTCGCTTGGTCGGCCGTCGATATGCCTGGGATCGACATCGCGTTAACATCTCACCA